TGCAAGTCAGGCTGCGCTTCTGACTGCCCTCCCCTCGCGTCACTAAGCTCCACTGTCGTCAGGGCGTCCACCCTATCCCAGCACGCCGTGCAGCCCCTCACAACGCAGTCCATGCGGGTCATGTCCAGGCGGTAGCCATCGAAGCAGTCGCAGGTGAAGCCCTCGGGGACCCGCACGCAGCGGCCGTGGGCACAGCCGTCCAGGATCCCACACTCCTCCGCCTCCAGCCCCTCGTAGGGCCCAGCCAGGGCGCCTGCGGAGGACAGTGCGAGGACTCCCTCATTCAGGGTCTGTGCCTTCTCTCCCTCATCGCCCCTGGCTGCTCTCTCTGTTCCTTCCTGAACCACCCATCCTTCTCCAGGGGGCGCTGTGGGGCCAGGAAGTGTATCTGGCTGTGCTCACTAGCTTTCCCTCTGTCCTCACCTCTTTCTTGGTGGGTTTACAGGTGTATCTCTGTTTTCTCCGACTGCATCTGTCTTGTCATATCTCTCTGTGCCTGTCTCTCCCCCTGGCTTCTTCGTTTCTGCATCTCTCTCCTTCCCTCCTCCCTGACTCCATGTCTGCACAGTTCAGTCCTCTGCGTCCCATGGGCCTGCAGTGCTCACCAGTGTAGCCCACGCCTTCACGTGGCTCCTCGGGCTCTGGGAAGGAGCCACGGGTGTCTCGGGACCGATAGCGCCAGCGGGTGCCGGGTCCGGGTGGAGCAGGAGGCTCAGATTCACCATAGGGACCACCATCATCCTCAAAGTCCGGTATGTCGAAGGGTGGCATCCCATAGGGGGCCTCCCGGCGGGCGAAGGGCCCAGGTGGCGGTGGGTAGGGGTCATAGGGTAGCACAGGTGGTGGGTACAGCTCAGGCCCATATGGAAGGCCCTGGTAAGGTGGACCGAGGTCTGGACCATACTCGTAGGGGAGTCCAAAGCCACCTGGCCGTGGGGGGCCATATGCAGGGGGGCGCAGCACATTGCACAGGGCCTCAAAGTCATCTGTAAACAGGAGACAAGCCTAACCGTCATTCCTTGCTTGCCTTGCACCCACCATGCATGCCCCCCCGCCCCCCGCCCCTGTGGGAAGAACCCAGAGGAGAGGGAGGAGTGCCTTGGGCTGAGGCGTGGAAGGGGCTTCAGAGGAGGGGACTTGGCTTGCAGGGTGGGGTCAGGGGTTCTGGAGCCAGGACTGAGGGTCCAAGGCCTGAGTCTAGGATTCCAAGGTGCTGGGGTCAGGAGTACTAAGGACTGCAGCTAGAAATTATGGTTCAATGTTCTGGAATTTGGGGGATCCATGGGAACTCAGACTAGGGGTCTACAGATATAGGATGCTGGTGTTTTAGGGACCAGGACTGCGAATTCCCAGAAACTGCTGTTGGGGATCTGGGGGCCAGGATGTTTGGGAGAGGATCTGAGTCACAGACCTGGAGGTCTGAGGATCAAGGATGGGGGCTTTGGGCCTGGGGCTGGACTGGGTTCCCAAGGGCTGAGGATTGGGGGAATCAAGGGTTTTAAGAGCCAAGAACTGGGGCCTCTGGGGCTGTGTGTTGGGGTCTCAGTGCTTGGATATGTGTATCCAAGGCACTGGAATTTGGAGGCCTGTGGGTTATGACCAGAGAGCCTGTGGGCCAGGATGGAGGGATCTGAGCACCTGGTACTGGAGGTCTAAGGCCTGGATGTCGGGGAGGGGGGTCTCATGGGCTGTTCTGGGGACCAGGAGTGAGGGTCAGAGAGACCAGACCTCAGGGCCCTATGGGACCTGCTGATAAGACTGGGAGGTCTCTGGGATGTGACTTGGGAACTACGGCACCAAGATTTAGGGGTCCGAGGGGCTGTTTGGGGAGATCTGGTAGGCTAACACTAAGAGCTCTAAGGGTCTGGATTTGAAGCCTGAGGGGCAGGACCTCTGAGTGTGGCCCAGGCAGATGGCAGTACCTGAGTCCTGGGCAGGGCAGAGGGCACAGTCCATGCCCCAGGCCTCCCCGTAGAGGCAGCAGCACTCTGTGTACGTGGCCTGGCGGTCCAGCCGAGGGCGGCTGCACACGAGGTCAGCCCCCACTTCCTGCCAGCACACTCCCAGGTTGTCATCTGAGGGCAGAGACAGCATGCATCAGCGTGGGACTGACACTCGGCCTCCTCTCCTGCTGGAGCAGCCGGCCACCTCTGCCTATCACCAAATCCTCATCGGCTGTGGTCTGACCCCCAGAAGCCCTCTGAGGTCGTTCCAAGGTTCTGAATTGAGAACAGGGCGTGGTCTGGCATGAGGCTGTCATATAGGTGGTGAGAGCAGAGGGGTTCCCATGACTGGGAGCTAGAAGCTGAGAGGACTCTATCCAAGTCTGGCCTCTGGAGGGCTGTGTGACCTTGAGGAAGGTCATTTCCCTCTCTGAGCATTGTTTGAATGAAGTGTTTGAGGATGTTGTAGGACCAGAGTTTGGGTCCGTGGGCAAAAAAAGAGAAAGAAAGAACCCAAAGAGATAGAGACAAACACATCCAAACAGTCAGAGATTCTAAGAAAAATGGGTCAGCAAAGAGGCAGAGAGAGAGAGAGAGAGAGAGAGAGAGACCCAGAAACAGACCTAGAAACAATGATAGTCCCAGAAAGTGTCAGAGTCAGAGATGCACAGGGAAATAACAGGGAACGCGCCTCTAGCACTCAGACCAGGTCCTGTTCTGTCCTTAAAAATAAAATTCTTGCCCTAACTGGTTTGGCTCAGTGGATAGAGCGTCGGCCTGCGGACTGAAAGGTCCCAGGTTCGATTCCAGTCAAGGGCATGTACCTGGGTTGCGGGCACATCCCCAGTAGGAGATGTGCAGGAGGCAGCTGATCGATGTTTCTCTCTCATCGATGTTTCTAACTCTC